TGATAGTAAGTTCACTATTTCGCATTGCAATACCCCTGCTAATCTACCATCACCCGTCCTGTCTTCTAATCTCACGATTTCTAACTTGTTCAGATTAATATTTATTCCAAAAACTGCTTGGAAGCAAAGAAATACACATCTTAGATTATTTAGTATCACCCTCTCCTCTGGTTGGCAAAAAATCAAGGTGCCATCTCCAAAGAGAAGATAAGAAACCTCAACCTGTTGATCGTTTCTTCCCATTGTCAGTCCCCTCAATAGCTCCAACTCCTTTGTTTTCTCCAATAATCTATTCAACGTTTCCATAACAATGATGAACAATATGGGAGATAGTAGATCTCTCTGTTTCAATCCTCTTGACACCTTAAAAAAAGAAGAGGGTCCTCGATTCACCATCACTGCAAAAGATGTGGTGGTAATACACGAATACATCCATTTCCTCCACTTTTTTCCCGAAACTCAATCTTCCTAACATATAATCCACAAATTCCAACTAATATGGTAATACGCTTTTTTCATATCTAACTTGTATAGGATCCCCTTCTCCTTGCTGCTCACCAAATCATCCACCACTTCATGCGCCACCATGACAGCATCCATAATTTGTCTATCATCCATAAATGCATGTTGACTCTCCCCAATCACTTCCCCAACATTTTAGACAATCTCTGAACCAATAATTTTGAAATAAGCTTGTAAATGCACCCCACCAAATTGATTGGCCTGAAGTTTTTAATGTTTTTCGGCCCTTCTATCTTGGCATTAAATACCAAAAAATTCAAGAGGAGTTCTCAAACCTTGGTCTGCTCTCTTAATCTTTCACCCACTATGAGAATTGGCACACATTTCTTTACTCACTTTCACAATCACTATGAGAGGAATGTGTTAATATATCAATAATAGATTGGGTCTTTGTTTACCGATTTACAGATTTTGTATAACTATTATTTAAACCCTAACAGAGGGAAGCGATATCTTATCATTCAAATATTTTTCCTAAATCTTCTATTTCAGTTAAAATAATTTCAGCTTTTCCTATTTACCACTGACGAGTATACAGGAGCATTTTGTGCAATTAAGATCCATTGGCATAAGAGCAATAATGAACCAGGTAAATGTGAATAACTCTTCCGGGTTAATATTCCAATTTATTTAACTCTAGATTAATTAAGCTACCTAAAATCAGAACTGCAAATTGCAAGAGGAAAGGTGATGAAATCCAGCTGTTATGTCATCACTTTGCAATATCCGAATTTTTATGGTGATGAATTCATTTCAAATACTGAAAATAGATCAAAATGCAAAAAGTGTCTTTCCCAAGGCTAACGAGGCGTATTTATGAGTCAGCTAAATTGCGCTTTTTTTTTTTTTAATTCTCACTTATAAGATTTGGATAAGACCAATTCTCAGTAATAAGGTTAACAAGAAAAAACCAGAGAACAAAAAGCACTCTTCTGGAGGAGCAACATGTCTAAATCATGCAAAGTCTTCTAATCTAATCACCCAGTTGAATACTCAATCCCTACTGCATTTTATAGTTGAACGAATCATATTCTTAATGTTCATAAGAAAATATAAGGAGGTAATAAGATAGGAACCTGAGCAATAGACTCCATGGCAGGAGAGATTAATCTGCAAGGGCCGCACCAGGTAGCAACGAACTCGACCAGAACTGGACGTTCGGATTTCAAAACAGTTGTTGGAAACTCAGCCTCTTTGATCTCCTTGATAGCTCCGCATTTTATGGTTAATCTATCAATTGCAGAGTGAGTTAAAGACGAAGAGCGCGGTGGTTTCCTTTGGGTGAGAAACGAAGACTTGAACAAGAGACGGCTGGTGGAAGCAGAAGGAGGATCGGGAAACCATAATCTGTTGGATACTGAAGGAGCCGGACGGTGCAATGAGCCGAACAGTGGGGACGAATTGCACAGGACGGCATCCATAGTTTCTAGCTACTTCCGAGTTGAGAGGAGAGAGACGGAAGAAGAGAGGGAGAATGGTGGCCGCCCAAGCTTATGTGTGGACAAGCGTTAAAGAGTAGCTTGTCGTATAAGATGCTACCACGTGTCATCTGCTTGACCGTTGCTCTTTCTTGCCATTAAGATTGCAGCCGTTGGTTTGTTTCATTGGTCTCGGTTTATTTTTAGTAAAAAATTATGTTATAATGATTATAGATTAGTTATTTAATTAATTAAGTTAACTTTGATTTTATACAAATTTTATATTTATGTTCTTTTATCTACTTTTTCAGAAACTACATATTCTTTTCCTCGGTAAGTTATTTTAAAATTTTTAATCAATTGTATAATTTAAATTTAAAATTTTTTTGAAATTTAATTTTATTATCGATGATTGTAAATTGTTATTATCACCTAGACCTAATATTTCTATAAGCCGGACTTGCGGGCAAGTTAATGGAATAGGCCACAGCAGAGCTCATCCTTGTTTTTATGTTTTTGAGGGTTTAAATTTTGATATTGTTTTAATGCTTGCATAAATTTTTATAAATTGATTATTTAAAAAAAAATTTAATTTTAATTTATATAATTCTGGTTAAAAAATTTAGAAAATTTTTAAATAAGTTATCTTATTTTATTTTTTTAATTATAATTAATTTTATTAGTTAAATATGTTATTTTAGTAAAATTTAAATAAGAAAAGTAATATATTTTTAAAATAAATAAATAATAATTTTTTAAAAGATATATAATAACTGAAATTAGTTAATTGTCTAATCATAATCTTATTTTGAATAAATTAATAAATCTTACTCAAATTTATCTTAAGAAACTAAATAATAGTAAGCAAAAAATAGTAATTTTATCCAAATAAATTAAAAAATTTGGTCAAATTTATCTAATGCTTAAATAACAACAATAAAAATTAGAAATAAGTTAATAGAGTTATTATATTAAACTACAATACATTGAATAATTATTTAAATTCTATTGAAATTAATAGATGCTTTAATCAATTCAAATCAAATTATATCTTTATAAATTTCTTGAGATATTTTTCTTACTAATCTTTTTTTTGGCATCTATAATTTGTCTTACTTTAGGAGCACAATCTCACAATAGACATCTAGATGAATTAGTTTGTCAACTTCTTAAACAACATTATAATAATTACCAAATATCTATTCTATAACATACTTTTTAATTAAGATATTTCTTCATATAATCTAATTAATCAATGAGTTATTTTCATTTTACTAATACATGATCTTGGTATATGTCCATAATAATTGAAGTCAAATATTCTTGTTAATGAGATAATTCATGAATTATATATGTATATATGAATGATAAAATATCATGTCATATATATTTTTAAAAAATAATTTTAATTAAAAAGTCAATACAATTGCTTCTGGTTTTATGATTAGTTTGTGATATGTGCTTTGACTAGTCAAACAATAGAATTAGTTTGCATCATGCATCACCACAAGTTATTACTTTGAGAATTACAATAATTTATGCAAAAGTAAAGAAAAAAAACAAGGAGAAAAAAATGTAACATAAATAAAAGATTAAAGGTAGTAGTAATTACTACATGCATTAAAACGAGTATACTAATTAAACAAATTGAATTATCAAATGTTAGTAGTTTATTATGTTGTGAATAAATAAAAAAAATACTACATGAATTTTGTTCATAAAACTTGGATTAGATACTAAAGATTAAGGGGAACATATGGCTAGAGAGTTTGAGTTTTCCTCAAGCATATAATTCAAATGTGTTGCCCCATACTAGTGATATGAACAAATGATAATAAAGTACTTGACTTTGTAAATAAATTATCAAATGTGTATTTGAAATGTGAATTAGGATGAGATATCAAGTTATTTTGAATAATATATTAAGATAAACTAAAAAAAAAAAAAAAAAAGAGAATGCAAATACTTTTATAGAGGTTATATCATACCACTAGTACTTACCACATTTTTTTCAAGCCAACTACTTGAATTTCTACTAATTTATGTATCCTCAACAAAAAACTTCTAAATTTTTTTTCAAACATCTCTTACAATATGTTAGTTGTTCTTCATGCCTAACTCACCAAACACTTTATATTCTTAACATAAAACCTCCCAAAATTTTTTACGAATTTTCTGAGAGTGATCTAAATATATAAAAGAAAATATTACAATTGTTTATTTCAAAAAATCAATTTACAAGTAAAAAAGCATACTTAGGGATTAGGCTCAAGAAAAATGAAGAAAAGTTTTGTTTTGCTTTTTACATTTATTGATCAAAAAGCTATATTAAATGTGTTGGAGTAAAATATTTGTATACAGAAAGTAAAAAAGTATTGTTTAAGGTTTTCTGAAATCAGATTTTTTAGCTTAAATAATTATAAATTCTTTACTCAAAAGTACAAAATTTTTTAGTGATGTGATTATATAAATCACATATTTTGACATACTTACCTTAAAAAGTAATTTTTTTAAAAGCAACATGATACTTTATTTAATTTGTTGAAATCACTTTTTTTTAGCTCATTTAAAGTTAATAAAAATATATTGTTTTAAAAAATATGTGATTTATGATATGATATGAGAAAATACATTTTTAGTCATACTTAACATTGAAGTGTCATCTCCATATTACAAAAAGTATTTTACTAAATCTCCTCACATGACATACTACCCACTTAATGCAGTATTCTATATATTTAGAGAAGTGATTTTTAAAATAACATATGTTGATAAATAAATTAAAATTCTATTAAATAAATATATTTTCTTTAAAATTTCTTTTACATATAAGTTCTATTTCAAAAATAATTTTAAAAACCTTTTTTAACATAGTTATCACTTTAAGAAAGTAATGAAGAAATTGTTTTCAAGAACAATAAATTTTTCAAAGAGATTTTCATGAGTAAAATAAAATTTTCTAAAAAAATCTTCTTTAGCTTTTGACAATGAGTCACCTAATTTATATAGAAGATTAACAAACCTAAAAAGAAGTTTGCACTTGATTTGCTATTTGTTTCTCTTCTTGTTGATGCCTTGCATTCTTTTATAACTTGTTCCTCTTTCTTGAATCATGTTTTAATAACTGAAAACATCAAATGACACTTTAGTATGAAAATAAGTTTCTATCATTCATTAGAATTAATTAATTTTGTTCAAAAAATGTAATAAATAGTATATGATAAAGCTTTAATTATGTTTGTTAATATAATTTTTATGGACAAATTATCAATTTAGCCTTTAAACTATAAACTACATTCTAATTTTATTGTTTATTATAATTTAGTTATGGAATCTGAATGTAATTTTTATTTAGACATTTTTAATAAAATACTGAAAGTTCTTACTATATTGCTTAAGCAATATTAAAAAAAATTCAAAAATACTAGCAAAAGACATTTATAATATAATCTTATCCTCTATTCTTCATATTTTCCCAAAATTTCCCTTTTAAGTTTCATTTGCTCCTTCTCTTGATTTCTTTATATTTCAGTTCTATAAATCATCTCCATACCATTTTTTTTATACAAAGAAATCACGATTTGCATATTTTCTCCTATGTTAATATGATACTCTAATATCATATTAAAAAAAAATACTATTATTAAATTTCATATAAACACTTAAATTATTTAATAATAATTTAAACTTAAACATTTGAGAACATGTTGTTCGGGTTCAAAGAGTTATTGGGTTAATGGTGTTTAGTTTTATAAATATTATAAATGATATCCGAGCACCTATTATCTTGGTGATTCTAAACTAGTGCAATATTGGATCTTATGGCTTTTCAAATTGTGATTTATGATATGATGTGTCACCTTAATGAGATATCAAAGTTTTTGGTGGTGGGAGATGTGATACTCCAGTCCCATGTTTGAAAAAAAAAAATAATTGTTGAGCTTTATATAACAATTCTAGTTATATGTTACTGATAATTTGAATTTAAATTTTTAAATAACAGCATATTCGGTCCAAAAATTATTGGATCCATGTACTTGGTCCTGTAATATTATAACACTTCGACTCTCACATTACATCTCTTGCAAATCTTTAATTTTTTTTAATTATTGAAAATTTTAAACACTTAAAATTGAAGATATAAACAAATATGCTAGATTTTTTAAAGAAAATTTAAGATTGAAATTTTTTTAGTTGAGATTATTTGCCTAAACCAAGTGCACAAGTTATATAGAATGTCAGGATCCATTATGTTTAACATGGACAATGTGTTTACGAGCTTATGATGGGAAGAAGTAATATGGTTGATTAACTATAATATGGATATTATAACATTCTTAATTGAATTATGAATTAAGAATAATGAACCATTATTAGAAGGATATCTTAAATGCATGAGTGATGATGCTTTGAAAGCCACATCTATGGTTTAAATGATTGAGTTATGTAGACTGATATTAAAATTTCTCTTACACTCAAGCATCAAGATAACTTTTATCTAAGCTCCCTATGACTATCATCCTGGTCATTTCTTAGGACAACAAGAGATCAATACTCTAATTATAAGTTTAAAGAAATTTTTGAAAAAATGATAATTAATAATATATTATTTGAAAAATAACTGCTAGAATCTCATAATAAAATAAAGAAATTTGGAGATGCATAAGATTTGAAAGATGTGAAATTATATATCTTTTTTAGTCATCCAAAACATTGGATAGATTGCTTACAAATTATAACTTCTTCTAGAATAATAAAGACATTTTGTTTAATTTTCTCTTTTTCTTTTAAGAGAAGACATGTTTTTCATGTATTACTATGATGCGGAACCCCAAGACCCTTGCTTGAACCTTAAAACTATTCAATCGGTTTAGAACGGAAGTTAGATCACAAGTAAAAAAAGAATCAAATTTGTTCAATCACCCAAATGGTAGAAGTTAAAGAGAACCCAAGAAAGATAAATAATATCCCTTGAACCCAATCCAAACAAGCACCAAGAATAA